TTTTTTTTTTAGTGTCCTAAAAAACCCCAAGGTTGATCTGTGCTCATCTTATTTATTCTCAAGCCTCCCTAGGAAAGGGGGTGTGGGGGGCTTGGGGGAATATTAGGGGGGAGTAGGAACTCCAAGTAGTCCTTTCCCTGATACTTTGTTAAATCACTTGGTGGTGGCAGCGTTAGCTAATCCAAGGTACAAGGGAGAATTTGTGCCTTGGGGAGTGTTTAACCTAAGCTGGTAGAAATAAGCTTAGGGGGTCCTCATGTCTGTACCCTAGAGTTCAGAGTGGGGAGTTCTACTTAGTTAGAACAAATACTTATAATCTATAATTTGGTTTTTTTACTCTCTCTGTTCAACACACTATTGCTGGGTTGTGGGGAGAATTAATTATTATTATGGTATTTGTTTGATATTACTACTAGCCTGGAGGAATGGAAACAAGCTTCATCTCCTGGGGTTTCTGAAAAAAGCTTTCAAAATAAATAATAAATAACACTGTTCATGCACCAATCAATGACACAGGAGAGAAAAATGTAGGAAAGCACAATACTTAAATTGTGGGTCTGCTATGAATTATTGATACTGAAGAGAAAGCTGGTAAAATATTCAAATTTAACTTTCTGCAGTAATTTGCTGCACTTATCTTTGGTCATTTGCTGCAGCAATGGTCAAAGATTCCAGTCATTTAATATCATGGAATATGGTGAAGAATTACACAAGGCACTATGTTTAATTGCTATCATGTACACATGAAAATAAAAATAATAATCTACGATTAAGATCATGAGACTGATTCAGATTTACCAGTGATTAACATTAATTGACTGCAATTCAAATTAAAATGTAACAGCTACATCCTGTTTCCACAAATGTTTGGGGGAAGGAGAGAGGAGCCGGTTTAAAAAAAAAATTATGAATTTGCATTCTCACAGCCTTTATTTTTAAAGCATCAAAAGGAATTAGTCAAAACTATAATATTGTTTAGTGTGCATATTCTATAAACCTTGTCTTTTGTTTTACAAGACATTACATATTATATCAGTAGTAATATAATAATAGCAGCTCTAAAGCTTGTCTCTTTCACCAACATAAGTGGGTCCAATGAAAGAGACACACACCCTTGTCTCTCTCTAATACTGTACATTGGCACACATTAAGATCAATATATTAGTGATGATAGGAATGTATTTTCTTTTAGAAGGACTAATTGTAGGTTTGTGGGTGCTGAATGCCCAAGTAGCCAACACAATAGAAAGAACTTCAGGACATATTCTAAGCGATTCTAAACTGCAGGAGACGAGTTAGTAATGTAAGCAGAACTCTTGATACTCACTCTATCAGAAACCTTAACTTTCAATTCCAGCACGCTTGACTCAGCCCTTCACCTCCCAAGATAGATAAATGGGAGTACATGCAGTTTACTGCACAGATGCCTTTCACACAGAACATTAAAAACCAGTGTCCTATCTGTCCTAAATAGATACATAAGTTTCCATTGCACTTTTTGTTATAGTAGGATTTTGCCCAGCAGTATCTGCACTACATTTTAGGTTAGGCCCTTGGTTGCTGTGGTGAATGAAGTGATTCCTTTATATATTGCAGACAAGCAAACATTTATTTTAGGCAAGGTGCTTATTACCATGAAGTCGCTGGGACTATCCATAGTAGTACCTAAACTGCCTACCAGATCAGACCATCTATTCCAATCTCCTATTTCTGACAGTGGAAAATACCAAATGCGTCACAGGAAGATGCAAGGAACCTCTTAGTGGACAATTATGGAATAGACTGCTCATAGGGAAAGTTTCTTCCTAGCCCCAGACAATTCATGGTGCATGAGGAATTATATACTTTATATGTTTTTAAAATTATATCTAATTTAAACGACCAATGTTCTCATTATCTTACAAAACGTCTCATCTTTTAAAAAATACTACTTCGCTCTTGGTCTCAATGATATCTAGTTGCAATGAGTTCCACCTGCTAATTATGTGTTTTGTAAAAAGTATCTTCCGTAATTGGTTTTAAATTTAATTGAATAACTTTGTTATTATAGGGAAAGGGGAGCACCTGGTTTACCTTCACTATACCATTTGTTACTTTGTATGCCTCTGTCATGTTGCCTTTTATTGATTTGTCTCCTTTTTAAACTAAAAGTCCCAAACTTTTCAGTATTTCCCCATATGGAATTTTTTTCAAGGGGAGGGCTTACTATTGATTTATATAACAATATTATTATATTGTAGTATTATTTTTAAAACCCATTCCTTATGCATTCTAACATTTTGTCTGCTTTTTAGACTGCTGCTGCATAATGAACAAAGACTTCCATTGAGAACCATGAGTACTACATTCAGTAGCAACATTTGCAGGATCAGCCATAAAGTGCTATGGAATCCTTCAGGTTGAAAGTCATTATATAAATATGTAAGAGGATTATTAATTACAAATTTACCTATTTTCCATTTTAGATCTCTGAAGCTGCAAGTAACCATTAACCGCTCCATGCGATGTCCCAGCACGCAGTGCACCAGCAACATCACATTCACCATTAAATATGCCTGTATCATAGAACCAGCAGAGGTGCTCAGGTAAGTGGCTGCCTTTTTACACTGTAGGGTTGTTTTGGCTCGATGTGGGGGGGGGGTAATATTTTTCTTTCTGAACTCGTAATACGTGGATAAACATCAGAATTTTCTGGCTCCATGCTCTAACCTGATTCCTTTTGATGGTGACATCACTGGCAAACTATTATTATGTGATAAGCACCTTAGTAATACCACAGACAGATATCTCATGAAATAAAAGTCTGCAATTTGTGACTGGGATGGTGGAGGGAAATAATGATTTACATGCTAAATGACCTGGTTATCCTGCTACTTTTGCTAAATACTTGTAGATCCATTTTAACAACTCCATATAGTTGTTACAAAATACTGTCTGAATACAGAGCATTTTTCACACTTCCATGCCCTCCATTTCAGTTCACACCACAGTGCATTAAAATGTGATGCATGATGTGATCTCCAAGTATCCTCCAGACACCCATAACATGAATTGAAACTCAGGTGTCCAAAAGCAAAGCAGACAGCAGAATAGTAACCAGTAGTTCCACTGTAATGTTTCCCTTCTTCACATATTAATGAGAAATAATTAGAAAACACAACAAATTGGGAGTAATCTCTTTTGCTTGTCTGTTTACTTTACATCACATTGTCTTCAAATAATATTAGGAAACTTAAGTCTACATTATACAACAAAAAAACCATCTGATGTTTTTAAGTGTATTTCTGACTCCAGAATATATTAAAACAGTAACATGCCAACACAGGGAAGTCTTCAAGCCCTCCAAAGTTGGCATCTTAATGAGCACTGCAGCTCAGTGCAATTTGATACACCTCACAGCATGCATTGAAAGTGCTTCTGGAAGTTAATGAAAACATACAGGAATGAAAAAGTAAATTTTCCTCCATAGTTTGTATGTTTTACTCCCTCCCCTCCCAATGCTGCTTAACAGAAAATATTAATTTGAAAAAATTGAGACTGTGTGATTGATAATAAAAGAAAGAAAATTCAGAACAAAGGCTTACAGAAACAACCACTGCACATAGCCATTACAGTACTCGAAATATCATGCAGTATTTCTGGACACCTGTAAAACCTAGGTACAATGAGATGTATCTGTTAGCAGAGAGGCTTCATGATTTAGTGAGCTAAGCAAAGGCCTGGTAGTCAAGAACTACTGAGTTCTAATTCTGGGTTTGAGGGTGACTTGCTTTGTAACCTTGGGGAAATAATGACCTCAGTTCCAGTCTCCCTATCTGTAAAATGGGGGTGGATAATACTTTCATACCTTCCTCAGAGACCTGTTGTGAGGATTAAGTAGGTGTTTGTAAAGCACTTTGAAGATGTTAAGTGCTGAGTATAAAATACCAGCTTTCACATTACAGAAAATACCTTAAAGACAATATTAATGGGTCTGACAAACTGAGAAAGGGGAAATTCAAAGTTAAAGGGGCTTACAGCATTCACCCTAGTTTTCTATTTGATGAGTGATAGCTGCATGAAATACAGCACGTGTGCCCCCAAAGAAAAGCAAGCAATTTTAACATGATCTGCTGCTGTAATAACCTTTTTTATTATTAAAACTAGCTTTGTGTGGAGATGAAATAAAAGAACCATATATTTGATTTTCTTGCATCACAAACACATAACTATATGACCACTCAGGATTTCCAGTATGTGGCAGTTTGTGTCTCTCAGCGGTAAGATTTTTTTTTAAAGCAGATATATTCAAATATTTCTGCTAAGTTCTAATTTTTTCTAAACAACAAATGTGTGAAGGTCTCAATCTTTCAAGCCAACTTTCCCTCATGACTGACATTGCCTCGTCTTTATGTTCTAGACACCGCTTCCCCCTTCCCCCACTCTCTTAGAGCAGTATTTACAGAGGACATTGATTCTCTCTCTGCAGATAGAATAGTTGTTTCGCTAGAGCTGCTTATAGCAGTGTGTGTCACTCAGTAATAAGACATCCAATTATTTTTGGCCCTATGAAGTATTACCCTTCTTCTTGCAATGCCAAAAATTGGGAACTTCATTCCTAAATAAATTATTTTGTATTTGAACTTTTACTTGTAACACTGATTCTAACTGGCCACTTCAAACTGCAGTAGTTTAACTGCCAGGAACTGCTGACAAGCTAACATTATCACTCCACTAAACAAGAAAATCTGTTTTAACACCAAATACATTTTCATTCCAATATTTCATAGCACCATTAATTAACTATAAAGAAACAAAGTTGTGCCAGAGTTTGAAAATAAATGGGAGAGAAAATAATAAAGATGTAATAGTACTGGCAGGAGAGATTTTTAAAAGCGATATGAACAATCTTTAATCTTTTATCTATAGATTTCCTGTATGAGACTTTTTCTGAAAGGCAAATAACTCTGCGTCGTCCCTGCTAAAATCTCTCGAAATAAAAAGAATTAACTGAAGCTTACCTGTACTGGAATGTCATATTTGTAATTTTTATCTTTATTTCCTCTCCGTGGCGAATTTCTCCAGTCATTTCAAAGAGTTTGTTAGCCATTTTCTCATAAACTTTGGCATTCCTTTTAGTTTGTTTCAGTTCATCAAAAAATTCTTCCCAAACCAGCATTAAACCTCTCATTTCTGCATCAGTCCAGTTTCTGGCCCTTCTGTGTTTCTCAGTCTGAGAAGAAACAATGTAACTGGGAATTTCTGCTGCAGCCATTGCTGATTGACCTAAAAGGGTTTTAAAAGAGGACACTTAATATAGATTGAGTTTTTAGTTTAGGTTTTTGTAGTGCAAGACATGCATATGTGGATAAAGAATTTGAATGACAACAGAACATATGAAACCTTTTTGCAACAGCTTGAAGCTTGAGTGCACAAAATGGGGCCTACATCTGACAGGCAGGAATTTAGTTAAAAGCTTTTAAACAGAGAAACGTCATTTTGATGTCACGTTACCATAGCAACAGAGCAACTGCATAAGCTACAACAACAAAAACCTTTTAACTGAAAGCCAAAGAATCAGGACAAAGTTGACAGGCCATCAATATTAAAGCTTTTAAACACTTTAGGTTTAACAAAAAAAGATCTATGCAGCCTTTGAGAACCTACTTTTAAGTTTCTACTTCTTTTTAGCTTTCTCTTACCTTTTAGGCAGACAATCTGCTAGCAGGGGGTCCTGGTTGCCTGAATGAGCTTTTAAGTTGTGCCTTGACAGACTCTCTAGGAGGTTGCAAGGACTGAGGCCATGTGCACACACACAAACACACACACAGCTTTTTACAAAGATTTTTTGTAAAAAGCTTCACACACCTTCACGAAAATATATCTGTGTATCTACAAAATAATAAATGTTTAAGCAGCCAGTCTCCTTAAAAAAGTGCCTGCATCATTTTTTAGGAACACACACAAAAATAGCTTTTCAGTGTTTATTACTTACACACACACATATACATACATATGTATATTTATATTTTTATATATATATAGCCACTTTTTTTCCTAAGATGCTTTCCTGCTGCTAAGCACATACTGTAGTCCTGTCAATATGAATTTGCCTTTTGTAAGTATCTATAACTGTATGTGTATTTTGTATTCCCAGTAATTTAGATGCTATTTATGCTATTTTATGCAGCCTGTGTGCTGCCTCAGGACTGTAGCAGAGGCATTTCACCCGCTTTATGGAGAACCTAAAAGGATTATTCATTGAATTTAAAAAAAAAAAGGCTGCAAGATACTTAGATGGTAAATAAATTGCTTTGTTGTGAAGTAAGCATTTTATGGTAGTTTTCTATGTACAGAGCTAAATTCTGTTCACATTTACACCAGTGAAACACCATTGATTCATCATATTAAATTGTATGACACACACTATGGGTCAAATTTTGCCCTTTCTTACACCCATGTAATCCCATAATGTCTATCATAAAAGAATAAGATTCATGGAATCGATCAGTTCTAGCAATATGACTGGTTAATGCACAAAGCATTAATTCTCTATATTCCAAATTAAACAGCATCTTGTATAAAAACACACATCATTGTTTGTTTTCAATTTCAGCATATAACAGCAATAACGACCTCACTGCAGGGTATTTCCTGGAGATTAATGACAGGCGGGGGTTAATGGCCTGAGGCTCACCCAGCCAGTCCTTAATCCCTAGGAAATGTTCTGTACCTCAATCCTTAATGCTTAAGTATCCTATAAATCGTAAGTCTTTTCATAACCACATCCTTGATCTTAACAGTAGTTTAAAAACTACACAGATTAGTTTGCATCCTGGAAAGGGTGAGGGGAGCCCATAATGCCCATAAAAGGCACATGAAATAAAACCTTTAACTCATCACTGCCTGGTCTCCATGTTATGTATTTTATTGTTCATTCCAAATTGCACAAACAAAGGAACTGTGGAATATGTGATGAAAAAAAATCAGAATTTCTCTATTTAGTAATTTTTACTCCAAACCCACTGAAAAATCTCCATGTGAGAAATATACCTACTGAGTGACAGGCTTCCTTAACAAAACCTAGCCTCCAAACAACATTACTTTTTAACTGCTAATATGACAGCCTAACACCTATTACCCTTTTAAAATTTGTAAACAGCACCATATGCTGTCACAATGATCTTGCATGGTTTGTCTCTTGAGTGCCCAGCTGGAGACATCACATGATTGGTAGACAGATGGTGGTCAGAAACGGATCAACTTGTGACAGGTTCATTTTATTAATTTTTATATATCCAGCACACCATAATGAGTTGCATGGACATTATTAATAAAAACAATACCAAATTCAACTGACTAGTTTTGAAGCCAATGACAGAGGCGCCGCAGGAGAAACTTAAGGAAGTAAGAAGATGGCTCAGAAAAAATGGTCCTTAAGCTATTGCTAGAATATTGAGTGTCTGATCTGGGACCAAATAACGATCTTGCAGAAACCTCTATCCAAATTGACCCGAGATTGCTTTTCAGACTTTATTAAGCAATTATAGGAATTGTTTTACCCTGACATTCATCCATTAGGGCTCTGAAAATGTTTTGTATTATTTTTATTGCAACCAATCATGTATTAGACACTTTACATAAAAAAAGAGAATGATATGGTCCCTGCTTTGAAGAGTTTACAGTCTAGTTTTAGACAGGACACAACTAGCAAGGGTAAGAAACAGGAGGAAGGAGCGGGGATGGAAGGGAACAAGGACAGCAGCAATAACTTCTTTGAGTGATTGTCCACATATATTTCACTTCTGATCTACAGGTGCCCTGTGTGCATGAGTTAGAATTATTTTAAATAGCAGCATGCTGGGGCCACGCCTGTGCTCCAGATGCTCTTGTGCTTTCTCCCCTCTCCCACCCCGGCTGCATCTGAGGGCATAAGGGGCAGAGTGGGCCCAACCATCCCTCTGTTCCTTTTTAACTTCTCATGGCAGCCAGATCTTACCCCCGCAGTGCCTATTTCTCTTCCAGTTACTGTTTTTTTTTAATTAATTAGTATAGTTGTTAGTTTAGTAAAGTTTAACGTGTGTTTAAAAAAAGAGACACTTAAAAATTGAAAGATTTTATCCCAGTACCAGAACTTCGCTGCAGTGGCGGAATCCAAGTCTCCAGGGTTCAGGTCCTGTCCCTTCTGTAAGGAAGCCATTCCTATTCATTATGAATATTATAAGTGCCTCTTCTGCTTGGTGAAGCACACATTCCAGATAAGTGCTTGATACATTGCTCTTGTCATAGGAGGACACAAAAAGCGAGCAAATCCCACCTCAGGCTTTTCCTGCTGGAACACTCCATTTGAGCCTGAGGGAAAAAGACTAGACCATCTATGCTAGTGGTCTGGTAAGTTTCAGATCTACTCCAAGCTCCAAGATTCATTCTTCCTCAGAAATGCTGCACTCTCCAACTACTGAGTCATGAAGAGCAACTCACGCTATTAACTCAAAAAATTAATAGTGATTAAAAAAATTAATAGTGATTCATCGCAGTTTTAATCGTACTGTTAAACAATAGAAAACCAGTTGAAATTTATTAAATATTTTGGATGTTTTTCTACATTTTCAAATATATTGATTTCAGTTACAACATAGAATACCAAGTGTACAGTGCTCAATTTATATTATTTTTATTACAAATATTTGCACTGTGAAAATGATAAACAAAAGTAGTATTTTTCAATTCACCTAATGCAAGTTCCATAGAACAATCTCTTTATCGTGAAGGCACAACTTACAAATGTAGAATTTTTTTGTTACATAACTGCACTCAAAACCAAACAATGTAAAACTTTAGAGCCTACAAGTCCACTCAGTCCTACTTGTTCAGCCAATCGCTAAAACAAACAAGTTTGTTTACATTTACTGGAGATAATGTTGCCTGCTTCTTATTTACAATGTCACCTGAAAGTGAAAACAGGCATTTGCAAGGCACTTTTGTAGCTGGCATTGCAAAGTATTTACATGCCAGATCTGCTAAACATTTGTATGCCCCTTCATGCTTCGGCAAGCATTCAAGAGGACATGCTTCCATACTGATGACGCTTGTTTAAAAAAAAAAGTGTTAATTAAATTTGTGACTGAACTCCTTGGGGGAGAACTGTATGTCTTCTGTTCTGTGTTTTACCCGCATTCTGCCATATATTTCATGTTACAGCATTCTCAGATGATCACCCAGCACGTTGTTCGTTTTCAGAACACACTCACTGCAGATTTGACAAAACGCAAAGAAGGTACCAATGTGAACCAGCGGAACAGCGGGGAACCAGCTGAGCAGCGGGGGACAGCAGAGCAGCAAACAGCAGGAGTTTGCCTGGGATCTGTGTTGGTGAGTATCTGGTATCTGAGTGTGTGTTTGGTGAGAGGATCGGAGTGTTTGTAGTGAGGGCAGCTTGAAAGTTTGAGCGAGTGCTTGATTGGTTGGCTGAAAAGGACGGGAGTTGGGAGTGTTTTGTTTCAGGTGAGCCTGGCTGTTTAAAAAAGCCGGTGCTCCGCGAACCAGCTGAGCGGCGGGGAACCAGCTGAGCAGCGGGGGACCAGCTGAGCAGCAAATAGCAGGAGTTTGCCTGGGAGTTCGCCTAGGGTGAGCCCACTGAGGCTTACACCCTAACGACTTCTCTGAGTAATTACTGCATCTCCTGAGGAAGCTCGTAGTAGGACGGTAATATGGATGGGGAGTGTTCAGCTGTTGTGACCTGCACTGGATGTGCCATGTTTGTCTTTCTTCCACAGGACAGAAGTGACTTTGTGTGTACAAAGTGCAAGCTGGTCTCCATATTGGAAGAGAAGGTTCAAGGTCTGGAGCAACAGGTATCGACCCCCTGCGTTGCATAAGAGAAACTGAAGATTTCTTGGACAGACGTCAGGATATGCTTCTACAGGCACGAGGTTCTGAAGATTCAGAGCAGGCTGCGCAGCGGGGACAGGAGGACGGTGAAGAAATTTGGCAACATGTGACCTCCAGAAGAAGAAGGGGAAACGTCCATGTACCAGCAACGCAGATACAGGTAAGTAACCGTTTTCATGTTCTCTCCACAGGTACCACTGCGGGAGGTGGCCCAGACGATACATCTGGGGGAAGGGAGCAGAAGGAGATCCCACCAGTTGAAAGGCATGAGATGCACTGTCCTAAGGTTGGGGGTTCCACGACCACCACTCCCAAGAGAAGGCGGCGGGTGGTGGTGGTCAGGGACTCTCTCCTCGGGGGACTGAGTCATCTATCTGCCGCCCTGACCGGGAAAACAGAGAAGTCTGCTGCTTGCCAGGGGCTAAGATTCACGATGTGACAGAGAGTCTGCCGAGACTCATCAAGCCCTCGGACCACTACCCCTTCCTGCTTTTCCACGTGGGCACCAATGATACTGCCAAGAATGACCTTGAGCGGATCACTGCAGACTACGTGGCTCTGGGAAGGAGGATAAAGGAGTATGAG